CCACTTTAGAACCCCCCGTCGACCAAATGAGCACCCCAGGGTGTTTCATCTGGACAGACTGAGGGAGGATGAGTGTGCCCGGGGGTTTGCTGAGGCTATCTCTGGTCGGTTCACAGCACTCGAGGGCCTGACAGACCCTGTTGTTATGTGGGATTCCTTCAAGCGTGAAACGCTTGATGCAGCTCAGGAATCCATTGGTGTACGCCCTAGAGCAAGACAGAATACCATCTCGCAGGAGACACTGGAAGCCACAGAAGCTTGCCGTGCAGCTCGATTGTCAGGGGATCGCAATTTGCACCGTTCTCTGGCGCGCAGGACTAGGTCACTGCTGAGAAGGGATAAGGAACAGTATATCAGTAATCTTGCAGAGGAGGTCGAAAGCCGTTTCCTAGTAAATGACCTTCGTCCTGCCTACCAAGCTCTGAGAAAGCTGAACTCCAAGCCCTCCTCACAGACGACGGCAGTCCGCTCAGCGAGTGGTCAGGTAATCACAGATCCTGATGGGGTGCGTGTGCGTTGGGCTGAGTATTTTGAGCAGCTGTATCAGGTTGATCCACCAACAGTTAACTTGGATGCTGGGAATGTTGAGACTCCTCTGCCAGACCCACCCATCAGCGAGGATCCACCCTCCCTGACTGAAGTCAGGGGGGCGATCTCCAAGCTGAAGAGTGGTAAAGCAGCAGGTGTCTGCGGCATCACAGCTGAATTGTTAAAGGCTGGTGGAGAACCTATGGCAAGGGGCTTGCATGCAGTCCTGTCTGCCATCTGGCAGACCGGTACCATTCCCCCTGACCTACTGAGGGGTATGGTCATCCCTCTCTGGAAGGGGAAAGGGGATCGGTGGGACTGCAGCAATCACCGAGGCATTACACTGCTCAGTGTGCCAGGCAAGGTACTCGCCCACATCTTACTGAGACGTATCAGAGACCACCTCCTGAGGCACCAAAGACTGGAGCAATCTGGATTCACTCCTGGTAAGTCCACAATAGACCGCATCCTGGCGCTTCGAGTCATTGTAGAGCGCCGTCGTGAGTTCGGACGTGGGCTGCTTGCAGCCTACATCGACCTCAAGAAGGCGTTTGACACGGTGCATCGCGAATCACTCTGGGAGATCCTGAGACTGAGAGGAATTCCAACAAGGATTGTTGGGCTAATAGCAAACTTGTATACAGGCACTGAAAGTGCTGTAAAGTGTGGTGGGGGCCTGTCGAGCTTCTTTCCTGTTAACTCAGGCGTGAGGCAAGGCTGTGTTCTTGCACCAACACTTTTCAACACTTGCATGGATTGGATACTGGGTAGAGCTACTGTCCAAAGTCACTGTGGAGCAACTCTGGGCAATATCAAGGTTACAGACCTTGACTTTGCTGATGATGTTGCCATTCTTTCTGAATCTCTGGAAACCCTAGTGGCGGCTCTTGATGCATTTAGCAATGAAGCGAAGCCCCTGGGGCTAGAGGTCTCCTGGACCAAGACCAAGATCCAGGATTTTGGGGGCCTAATAGGAGACCCTGTGCAGTCGGTCCGTGCTTGCGGTGAAAACATCGAAGTCACTAGGAGTTTTATATACCTCGGTAGTGCAGTTCATGACTCTGGGCTGTCAGACCAGGAAGTCAGTAGACGGATTGGCCTGGCAGCAGGGGTCATGAAATCTCTCGACAAGAGTATTTGGAGATGCCGGTACCTGTGCAGAAGGACCAAGCTATGAGTTTTCAAGGCCCTGATACTGCCAGTTTTACTATATGGTAGTGAAACTTGGACGCTATCTTGTGCTTTGGAATCTCGTCTCGATGCCTTCTGTAACAGATCCTTGCGCCGGATCATGGGGTACAGTTGGCGGGACCATGTGTCCAACCAACAGCTACACCGTGAGACTGGGACAGGACCTGTTACTTGCACAATCCGTGATCGCCAACTCAGGCTATATGGCCACTTGGCTCGACTTCCGCAGGATGATCCTGCCCATCAGGTTGTCTCTGTTTGAGACAACCCTGGGTGGAGGAGGCCTGTGGGACGACCAAGAAGGTCATGGCTTGGGCAGATCGATCAAACCTGTCGTGAGGAACTAGAGATGGGCCGGGCCCCTGCCTGGCGGCTCGCCATGAGAGACCCTCGCAGGTGGAAGCGAAGGGTGGACGCGGCTATGCGCCCCTACCGGCGTTAGCCCCCCAATGATGATGATGATATATTAGTATATTCGTATATTTGTGTGTGTGTGTGTGTGTGTGTGTGTGTGTGTGTGTGTGTGTGTGTGTGTGTGTGTGTGTGTGTGTGTGTGTGCGTGCGCATGTGTATGTGTATGTGTGCGTGTGTGTGTGTGTGTGTGTGTGTGTGTGTGTGTGTGTGTGTGTGTGTGTGTGTGTGTGTGTGTGTGTGTGTGAGAGAGAGAGAGAGAGAGAGGTAATCACCAGGTCCATAATAACACCCACAACAAAATTTTAAAACCTTTATTCTGAGCAGAAATATCATGAACACAAAGTTGTACTTATCCAAGTGTGCAACATAAGACTAGGTATTGGTATTCCATCTCTTCAAAAATGTTTTACCTGTTATATACTATCAAACAGTCCATACATAATACATCATATCAAAAATGTATGAAAATCATTGTCTCCTACAAAATAGATTTCCTTTAAAAGATGACCTCTTTACATATATATCTGGCATTAACTCTTACAATAAGGTCATTTTCATTTGATTTTGCCATAGCAATAACTAATATATCTGGAAGGATAGCAAAAATAGAGGGGCAAATACTATGTCATATAAAATATGGTGAGTATAACAAATACATTTATATTCACAACTATGATGTGGACATAAAATAATATCAAACCATCACAATCTATCACATATCCTGTTGCATCAGTTTTCATCATCCATGCTGAGTGGTATGTATGACGGCAATCTCTTTGGTAGAGGTGGTCTTTGTAACACTCGACCCACTTCATGAATGTTTTGATCATGGACACTGCTCTCATTCTCTTCACTGTCTTTATCATTGTGTCTGTTTTTCTCACATCCAGCAAAGGACTGAGAACTGTCTCCTTCGGTGTGTGAAGAATCTTTCTGAGACTTTGTGTGAATTTTGCTCTCAGACATTCGGTCTTCAAGCACTCCCTCATCACTCAGTTCAAGTTTTGAGATTGTCTGCTTCATCTTTTCCATCTTAGTCATGAGTCTCTGTCTTGTTTCCTCTATTCTGCAGGTGAAAGATGAAGGTGATGACTCTACTGGCTGTTTCTCTTCAGTATGTATTTCTTCTTGTTCTTTCTGTAATGGTGCTGATGAAGATGAATGGTCTGGTACATGAGAGACACATGACTGGTCATCATCACCACAGAGGTCAGAGGTACTCTTCTGACATTCACTGACATCATCATCATTATTGCTCTCCAGACTGCTGAACTGGAAGTACCTTTTAAGAGGAACTTTGACAGTTTTTGCCTTTATTTTCTTTTCTGTTTTGCTCTTGGCCTTTGGTGGTCCTCCAAGAACATCTTGGCTTTCACTTGCCTTCCTTTTCCTGCTTGTAAATGGTTGTCTACTTCTTCTGGGTTTTCCTGATTCAGACCTTCTTCTCTTCCCTTTACCTCGGTGATGAGAAAGTGGGCAGGTGACTCCTCTTGGGCAAGTTCCTGTCAGGCTGTACTCTTCACAAACCAAGATATGCTGATTCTTGCACTGAAATATTGAAAGCAAATAATGAATAGCCACATAATAATAAATCAACTAAATTATACAAAGAAAAATTAAGAATGAAGACTATTTTAAAATGAGTCTTAGCATTAGAGTAATACAAGATTGATTAACAGACACATGAAAAACATAAAAGTTCAGCAGAGAAAAAGAAGAAGAAAAGATCCTATAATAATACAAATCAACAGGTGAGTACCTCTTCTCCAAGTGTGCAGTGACCCTGTAGAAACTCTGGGCATATAGGAGCATTGGGATTGACGCGCACATGCCTGTATGGACAATTATCTCGGGTGCAACTAGCTCTTACAAAATGTGAACAGACTGGCATCTTGTCTGGGTCGATGACATGTGAGAATGGACAGTTGCTTACTGGGCACCGACCTCGTAAAAACCTGTGAAAGATGAAATAAAGCATAATTAACAAAGATGAAAAAAAAAAAAACTGTGATATAATTCTAATACATAACAAAAATAACTTAAAAATACTGGATAAATATGATTAAAGTACTCAATCTGTAATCACGTCTGTGGTTAAAAAATCTACCAAATACAAAAGTAAAGATGTGAACATTCAGGAGAAAATGTCAAAGCCCCAATGAAATCCCTCTGCAACAAACCTTGTGCACACAGCAATTCTCTTTGCGTCATGAATATATGGACATTCCCCTTGATCCTTCTTGCTGCATCGACCGAATCGGTTGAAGAAGATGCAGTACTCATTTCGCTTCTGCATGGCTCCTCTTTTCCTTCTCTGTGACAGCATCTGCATACTTCGTTGCTTTGCCGAACTGGAAGAAATCATTCTGTTATATTCTTCAATTTTCAATACAAAATTAATAAAATACTACTACATACAGTTTACAGATGACCCTAACTATTCTGTTCTTCATTATTCCAGATTTCAAAAAAGCTCAAATCTGTCATCAGCAAATATTTGGAGAGAAAGGGGCAGGGAGGGAGAGAGATTTAGGGAAGGAGAGAGGGAGGAAGGTAGTGAAACAGAGGAGGAAACACTCCCTGCTTATCAGACCTTTCTCCTCTGCACCCATTCCTCTGAACTCTTTAAAACTCCAGAACTCTGAATATCTACACTATTTTACACTGGCATGCAATACAACATGGACACACATTATTTCATACTGTGCCAGCTATGTGGGATAACACACCCACATCAAGACCCTCTGAAGAAGCCTTCATCAACAATGCACCCACACCAAGCCCTTCCATAGAGGCCTTCCTAAACTACGTGCCTCCATCTCATGATACCTCTCCAGAAGTTCAACACTTGCTGCAACCTATTAAGCAAAAAGCTAACCTTCTGAAGATTCAACTCCAACTCCAACAATCAAAACTTGCCTATCTGATCTATCTGCCCCACACCCATCCCTCTATCTTCAACACTTGCCATCACTTGATGCCTGCAACACAAATCAACAATTCCCTACCAATAACCTCAATGTGAATTCCTTTACTCTTGGAGTTCTCAGTAGCTAGAAAATCCCTAATGAAGTGAAGCATTTCGTTTCCCCTATCATTCATGAACAGCAGTGCTCTCCCCACATAAAAAATGAAGAATCTGTCCCTCCCATTCACTCTCTGCTTATACCTTTCAGTTTGCCCATCTTCTCCCCTCTTTGGTATCCTCATTACCCTGTGGCCCTGATGGTCCTTTTCTGAGTATTTCTCTTGACCAAAGACTTTATGACCTTGAATGTTATTCTTTTATACACCTTTCACATTGCCTCTCATTCCAAGTTGTGATATTACCAAGTCCACATCGTGCTGAATCCCATTTCATTCATTATAAACTTATATTTCACAAGAAAATTTCCTAAACAAAGCTACCAGGAAAAACCTAACTTGTGTTCTTGCAAATATTCTCATCTCACATAATAAATCTATCCTGTGGCCTTGTAAGATTTCATAGGAATATATATTTTCCTGTGTTCTTGCACATGGAATCCCCTTACTTACTGCACGTTCCTAACTTTCAGATTTTTTCCAGCAATCTTGATTATTTGTACTTGCAATGCTAGCTCTCAAGTAAATGTTGAAATTAATATTTTCCAGTTTGAATCTGTGATCTGATCCTTCCAATAATATTCTAATCACAATTTGGATACCTGATGAGATACAGCATTATGTTAAATGTTACCAAGTCATGTCTGCTATTCTTGTCTGTTGTCCTTAGAACTTGGATGCCAATCATGGTTTTGCAATGCTGTCTCTAGTTGCTTGATCACCACATTGCTACACTTCCCTGCTGAATCCTGGCACAGAACACTTTTCTCTTTACATCTCAGTTAATGAGCGCTTTTCCTGTAGTCAGCCTCACTACTGTATCACCTGAGAATGCCCTCCTGTTTCCTATGTCACCACATCACTTGCAGGCTACCTCATACCACTATTTCCTACTGTTAAAACTGCAACTGGTTCTTAATTACTGATTACCTGGACTCTAAAGATCAACACTATTTCAGACTGGCATTCGATAAAAAAATGTAGTTTTGTATAGACTTTAATTTGCTGAACCATGAATTACTGCATTTTCCACACCAGAGGCACCCCAAAAGTTACCAGAATACACACATTTAAACATGAGAAGTAACACAAACATACAGAAGTACAGAAAAGTATAAATGCAATACCTGACCACAGCCCGAGCCTGATGAACCCTTGTTAGTTCATACTGGCCATTTGCTGTGCGAGAATAAGTGAGGCCACCAATGTGAACTCTAGAGAGGGCAGGCTGCATTCTTCCAGAACTTGTGGTATCTGTTATTCTCTTCAGGGTTCGCCCCCCGGCACCAACTTGGAACTTGTGACCACGAAGATGAACAACACACATGGAATCTGAAAAGTCAGAAATATCTATCAGTGATAACCAGTTCAAAAATTCTTTTAATGAAACATCTAAATCTAATAAATAGCATTAAAAGGATTACAAGTATCCTCCTACCTTTGTAAAGGCTACAAAAAAAAAAAAAAAAAAAAAAAAAAAAAAACTTACCTGCTGCTTTCTTTTCATTCTCTAATTTTTTAGCCAGCTGCTTCCTTAATGAAGTTTTAGTTGACTTGTATAAAATTCCTCCAATATTAATAATCCGGTCTGAGCGAATTCCCAGTTTCCTGTTGGAAAAGACACAAGGATGTCTGAAGGGATCTTTCATAAGAAATGTTGCAATCCAGCAAATTTTAAAATACTCCAAAATGGACAATGGTTTGCATTTATTAAGTCCTTTACAATTCCTACTTCAACGAAAAATTTGATATCTACATAATACTGATTATTAATTACCAACTTCTAAAATTGATTTACATCAATCTAGAAACTGAAAAAATAAAATGCTGCTTACCCTTTCTTAAATGGATACCCAGTCTTAGCCTTAAAACTGTGGGAAGAGTCCAGCTTTAAGCGATTAATCTTGTACTTTGACACATGGCCCTTCATTCCTTTCTGCTTCTGATACAGACCAATGGCATTATTCACTTTGTATACACTGTTCGCATGTCTATGGAGTGACTTTTCTCCATAACTTTTGGCTTTCTGAGAGGAATCTGACTTAAGGCGATTGATCTTGTACTTGGATATGATCCCCTTGGCAGCCTTCTGTTTCAGTGATAACCTAATACTATTGTTCACTACTTTATAGATATTTGCATTTCTTGCCTGAGAAAGACCACAAAATTTGGAAGACCAGCACTTGATAGGTTTAGCAGTTGCATTCCTTACCAATACATTGGATTTAAATACCCATGAATTTGATGTCTTACTTCCTGTAACTAATTTGGTTCTTTGAATATTCACAAGAAAATTTCCTAAACAAAGCTACCAGGAAAAACTAACTTGTGTTCTTGCAAATATTCTCATCTCACATAATAAATCTATCCTGTGGCCTTGTAAGATTTCATAGGAATATATATTTTCCTGTGTTCTTGCACATGGAATCCCCTTACTTACTGCACGTTCCTAACTTTCAGATTTTTTCCAGCAATCTTGATTATTTGTACTTGCAATGCTAGCTCTCAAGTAAATGTTGAAATTAATATTTTCCAGTTTGAAATCTGTGATCTGATCCTTCCAATAATATTCTAATCACAATTTGGATACCTGATGAGATACAGCATTATGTTAAATGTTACCAAGTCATGTCTGCTATTCTTGTCTGTTGTCCTTAGAACTTGGATGCCAATCATGGTTTTGCAATGCTGTCTCTAGTTGCTTGATCACCACATTGCTACACTTCCCTGCTGAATCCTGGCACAGAACACTTTTCTCTTTACATCTCAGTTAATGAGCGCTTTTCCTGTAGTCAGCCTCACTACTGTATCACCTAAGAATGCCCTCCTGTTTCCTATGTCACCACATCACTTGCAGGCTACCTCATACCACTATTTCCTACTGTTAAAACTGCAATTGGTTCTTAATTACTGATTACCTGGACTCTAAAGACCAACACTATTTCAGACTGGCATTTGATAAAAAAAATGTAGTTTATTGCTATAGACTTTAACTTTGCTGAACCATGAATTTCTGCATTTTCCACACCAGAGGCACCCCAAAAGTTACCAGAATACACACATTTAAACATGAGAAGTAACACAAACATACAGAAGTACAGAAAAGTATAAATGCAATACCTGACCACAGCCCGAGCCTGATGAACCCTTGTTAGTTCATACTGGCCATTTGCTGTGCGAGAATAAGTGAGGCCACCAATGTGAACTCTAGAGAGGGCAGGCTGCATTCTTCCAGAACTTGTGGTATCTGTTATTCTCTTCAGGGTTCGCCCCCCGGCACCAACTTGGAACTTGTGACCACGAAGATGAACAACACACATGGAATCTGAAAAGTCAGAAATATCTATCAGTGATAACCAGTTCAAATTCTTTTAATGAAACATCTAAATCTAATAAATAGCATTAAAAGGATTACAAGTATCCTCCTACCTTTGTAAAGGCTACAAAAAAAAAAAAAAAAAAAAAAAAAAAAAAAACTTACCTGCTGCTTTCTTTTCATTCTCTAATTTTTTAGCCAGCTGCTTCCTTAATGAAGTTTTAGTTGACTTGTATAAAATTCCTCCAATATTAATAATCCGGTCTGAGCGAATTCCCAGTTTCCTGTTGGAAAAGACACAAGGATGTCTGAAGGGATCTTTCATAAGAAATGTTGCAATCCAGCAAATTTTAAAATACTCCAAAATGGACAATGGTTTGCATTTATTAAGTCCTTTACAATTCCTACTTCAATAAAAAAAATTGATACCTACATAATACTGATTATTAATTACCAACTTCTAAAATTGTTTACATCAATCTAGAAACTGAAAAAACGAAATGCTGCTTACCCTTTCTTAAATGGATACCCAGTCTTAGCCTTAAAACTGTGGGAAGAGTCCAGCTTTAAGCGATTAATCTTGTACTTTGACACATGGCCCTTCATTCCTTTCTGCTTCTGATACAGACCAATGGCATTATTCACTTTGTATACACTGTTCGCATGTCTATGGAGTGACTTTTCTCCATAACTTTTGGCTTTCTGAGAGGAATCTGACTTAAGGCGATTGATCTTGTACTTGGATATGATCCCCTTGGCAGCCTTCTGTTTCAGTGATAACCTAATACTATTGTTCACTACTTTATAGATATTTGCATTTCTTGCCTGAGAAAGACCACAAAATTTGGAAGACCAGCACTTGATAGGTTTAGCAGTTGCATTCCTTACCAATACATTGGATTTAAATACCCCAGAATTTGATCTTCTCCTAACTAATTTTGTCTTTGATATCACAAAAAATTTCTTTCCTTTCTCTGTACTTGTTTTGTTATTAGCAGACTTTGTGGCTTGATTTTCACCCTCCTCAGTCTTATTAGAGGAGCTGCTACTGGATTTTCTTCGTACAAGTTTGGTCTTTGTCTTCAACGTATACTTTGCATTGCCAGGACTAGCATCTTTACCCACATTGCTTGAACCAGAAAGCTGTCTCACAAGTTTCGTTCGAGATTTAACAAGGTAGCGCTTTTTCACACCTGAGCTGGTTGAATATTTCCTGGCCTGTGTGGGAAATTTAAGTGAAGGCTGAGGTACTGAACTAACACTGCTTTTAAGATGACTCTTCTTCAGTACTCCAATGCGACCCTTATCTGATGACATGCTGCTTGAGCGCCGCCGCACCAGTTTTGTCTTGGAGATAACTTTGAACTTTGATGCTTTCTTTGGAGTCTCCTTTAGATTTCTTATTAAACTTTTTTTGGCACTAACATGCTGTGATATTGCCTGTTCCAACTTTGTCTGCTGCTCAGGATAAGGTCTGCTTAAATTCACAGCTTGTTGATTTAAAACAGGATTACTGTTACTTGCTATTGATTGAATGAGTTTAGGATTGACCAAGATGTTGGAAGTTTTTGTGGAGGTAGTTCCTAATTGTGATTTTCCACTCTCTATTTGTGGAGGTTGAGTATGCATTCCAGGTACTTGGATCCCGCTCTTTGTGAAAATCCTCTTAACATTGCCATGTCTACTAGTTGAAGTTTGGCTTGCATTTTGTTGCAAGTTACTTGTCGGATTTACTTTATATACACTATGATTCAGGATCTTGTCTGAGCCTGTGACCAGAACCTTATTGGCTGTCCATGAGTATGGAGATATTTTTTGTTTCACATATGGTTGACTGGGATATAAATTTGTATATGTAGTGTTAGGGATTATTTTATTTTGGGTAGAAGCATTACCTAGGTTATGTCCCTGATTTTCTCTTCTTCCTGTCAATAAATGCAAAGACTTCCCTCCAATGGGTTTGGAAGAGCTAGCAGCAACATCACCAGCTTTGGTAGAAGACAGATTACAGTATGGTGACAAAGAGTTATTGCTCTCATATTTATTGTGTGTCTGGGCTCCACTTGCTAACAACCTGGTTGCAGGATAGTGAACCCTAGACACAGAGGCTGTGCTGGCATATGTAGATGCCAATTGTTGCTGCTTATAATGTGTGGAATCGACCCTGGATATGCTAGAGACATTTGATGGGTAATAGTTATGCCTAGTATGTAGAGACTGGTTCTGACTGACTAATGGGTCTGATGGAGCAGGTCTTGATTTTTGGAAGAATGCTGGGTTTACATGTACTCTTGTCCCATTCAGCGCTTTGTTTTTGTTTGGGAGGAAGTCTGGGTTTACGTGTATTTTCTTTTGTTCATCCGGAGGATCCATTACCATCTGAAATGGATGAGAATATAAGGAAAATAAAATAAATAAGGGTAAACACATATATACTGGTGAGAGATAACCAGAGATGTGTTTATACTGCAAATACAAATCAATACCCATAAACTCTAAAATTAGCCTGAGCCCATCTCTCTTACTCTTACATGAAAATGTGATATATGATAGTTACTGGTAATTAAACCCAACTCCTTCCTGTAACCTTAATTTAGAAGTACTAATCACAAGTCATATGCCAATTACCATTGTTAATGGAAAATCAATAGCAATGATAAGTACTTGCAGCTATGAGTCACACTGCAGAATATGAAATGTTCACACCAGAAATATTTTCCTCTAAAACTTCACATAAACATAAAAGACTCAAGTTCTACCTAAAAGAGAATACATGGCATAATTCTGCTTACATGTTGAAACCTACATCAAAATTACCATTCTTATCCATTTCTCTGAGAATTTCCCATAAAATTTTAACCTTATATACCTTAGACCTCTGGAAACTAGGCTGTGAAGGGCAGGTCCTAGGCAACTGTTCAGAAAAGCTATGCATCAACCATATGAACAAATCCGGCACTGCTTGTGACAGCTATAAGAGTTGTAGACTACAGAAACCTACAATATTGAAGATAATGAGTTGTACTTAAGAGTGGTGCAGCTTCAAGCAATTCTCAAACCTCCTCACCATGTGCTATTATATTCTGCCAGGATAGAACTTATAGACCTCCCTGGTAATATATTGTCAAAAAAGAACCACTACCAAGTAAAAGGTGGCAGAGATTTGTTAGTCTTTAGTTAGAGAATCAACAGGAACCAAGGCCTAGGCAGGCAGCTTCAAAGTAACTATCATTTACCAGATACATGATACAACCTCTCTTTACTTTTTTAAAAGTTTGGTTCACATCCTCCCCAAGTATAAATATAAACATTATTTTTACTTTTATTTTATTTTTATTGTATTTTTACAGACTAAATCTATTACATCTGGCCAATAGATATTATAATCTGTCCATACGTGCTGCATTCACTAGAATCAGAGATACAAAACTTCTCTGAGTAATACCCAATCTGCATCTTTACCTGAGGCAACTGGCCAAGAGAGGCAACTTGGAACTTTCCTATTGAAATACAATATTATTGACAAACAAACGAGTATTTACTGACAGCAGCACCTCTAGACTATTCATCCCTACTCTTTTTGTCATTTCTCTCTTTACAAACCTCCTCGTATACTTCTCTACCTGGATCACACTACGGAATGTTTGTACTCGGAAAAGAGTCAGATTGCAGTGCAACATTGCTATTCAACCAAACTACACAAGAATGGAAATAGCCACATTATTCCGTTTAAAAGACTCCCTCTACAGAACCCACGTCCGGAGGTAGAAAGCAGAGTGACAGCAGAGTGACTTGGGAAAATAAAATACCTCACTCTGGATATTTTAAATTCCCAATAATATAAATAACCAAAATAACGGAAATAAAGTAACTTCGAACTGCAAGGTGACTCTTAATCAAACGCAGTATTTTCGCGAAACGTACGAGATACAAAATAAAACGCGTAGGACCTTCCTGCTCTCAAAAATCACTCTACAGAAGGTCTCCAAGGTTACCTTTGTGATGTTACGTCAGTTCCCTTTGGACAGTGAGGTTATTATTGACATATTTTCAAGGAGTTCGTGTAACAGGTGAATGCGCATGCGGATTGTGAATACGGGGGAGGTATGACGTCATCACGCTAGAATGAATATTATTTATTTTTATTGAATCGTTAGGTTGTTTTCGTTTTGCACTGTTTTTTCGCTTTCGTTTTATTATAATTAGTATACTTGTTTCATTTGGATTTTATGGTAATTTGAATTCACAAATATATAAGACATCGAATAACATATGGATTCCGTTTCCTCCTGGCTTCAAGGTTATTTGAACTGAATGTTATGGTCAGCTTCATGAAATTATCATAACCTGTCTAGAGCAGTTTTACCTCTATGGTTTCTGACAGAGAAATATACTATCATTTGATTTTTACTACTACTATTATTATTATTGTGTTATTATTATCTACACGTTTCTTACGACAAAATGTTACAATAAGTACCTATTTAAAACTTCCTGTCATTTCAGATCAGCAAGAATTTTCCTTTAACTGTAAGTTAGGAAAATAAAATTAACAGATTAATGCCTCAGAACAGTGTAGTTCTTATCACATTTGAAATTACTATCTTAAGAATATTCTGGAACAAATCGAAAATTAATTATTTTGTGTATTGTGTAAACTATCATCAGTATTGTCCGAAATTGATATATCTCGTATAATATCTTGAATTATCTTCAGATTCAAATAAACTGAAGAGAATAATAATAGTAATAACAATAACAATATCATCGCGCCTTCCCAAAAATCGAAAATTCCCGCCCAAAACCGAAGGGATCAGCGCCATCTATGAGCACGGCCGCGAACCAAGAATAAAAACAAACGAGGCGCCCTTTCCAGAATCGAGACGAGGCATGTGTCCTCGGCCTCTGCCTCAGCCTGTGTAGGTGCGTCTTATTACTGAGGTTTTTTAATGCGTAAGTGTGTTTCTAAGATAGCGTTGGGTGTGATGGACTCATAAACATTGCGCATAAGGAGAGTTATAGATAAGAAACGGTAATTTTCCTATTCCTAGAGAGCTCCTGATGCAGTGCCAGTTGCAATGAATGATGTAATTACGGGGATTGGAATATTTAGAGTTAATAACGCTGTTAAAAAAGAATAACGTAATGAAATATATTACTGTGGCATACGATCGCGTTTTCTTTATAACTGGAGAGAAGTTTCTGTCAATATGGACACCAGGGCTTTGCCATTGGCTTGCTTTTAAACCAAATTGTTTATTTTACATATAAAATATCAAACTATATGTTGGCAACTGCACAGTAAGGCATATGATTAGCATTATCAATTTGGTAAATACTGATTAATAAACACATTGAAAAGAAAAAAAAAAAATTAATGCTTAATCAGACAAACAATATGTAGTTAGTAGTGGCAGAGTTGGGTAATTAAACTGTTTGAAATGATCAAATGATGCAAACAATGATTCTTCTATGGCAACATATGTGCAACTGCTTCCCAAAGGTTCTAAATATAAAAGAATAGAGAATATTGTCCATATTTAACCAAGTTGCTCATCTTGTTTACATTGCGAGTATAAATTCCACACTGACTGCAAAACAGATTACTGTAATATGTTAATTAGTTCATGTATTTCAGTGTGCATGTCAAAATGATATTTTGGTAATTATCAGTATTTGCTTTCCTACTTATAGGCTTTTAATGTAATCTTTTCATGTTATTATACTTCTTGTACAGTGATTATCTATGCATGTGCATCTTCATGCTCTTGACTTTTGACAGCATAAGGAGATTCCATTCCTTGACAAGTGCTGGTGAGAAATGTGTTTTGTCAATTCTGGGTTATTCTTAAGTTTATACAGTGGCAACAATGAAGGAAAAGATATCAATAACCATCCCAGTTTGATATCTAAGCTCATGAAGTGTCTAAGATGTTTAAAAAAATAATTCCAGACATTCCAGACATTCGATGTAGCATAAAAAAGATTGGCGATCTTGCTGTGTAAAGTTAATGTGGTTTTCAGTGAGCAAATCATTAGGATTAAGTTTTACAATGATAGTTTATTGTGTAAATAACAGGGGGTCCAGGTGCATACACTGCCACAGTAGTCTGGGAGGAAGAGCTCCCTGGCTAGAGAGTATATATCATGGTGTTAGGTTGGATGAGTTAGGACAATTTGTCTAATGACCATGGGGGTCCAGGGGCATACTAGGGGCTGTTGATGGCATTATAGATGTAGATTTTACCAAAAGTGATTGGATGCACGTACAGTTTCTTGAAAGTTTCAAAGATAAAGGCTGTGCTTGTAGAGGTTCACAATCTGATCAGTGTTTTTCATGGTGTTTTAATGTATTCTTGTTTCATATTCAGTCTATTTCAGCCTGTTTTACTCCATAATTTTGCAGATATACTTCATGCCCTCCACTGCTATCAGGAATATCCAATTAGATTGTCAATGGAAATGGTAATCAGACCTCCTCAACAATTCATTTGCACAAGGAACAACACCTAGAATAATTTCCTGCAGAAAAACATCAAAACTATTTTGAAAGCAACTGCCATCTGTTATCCATATTGACTGCTTAATCTTAAAAAGAAGTATGTGTCACCAGCATAAATTATCAGGGTATAAATTTATTGTTTATTAAGTGTATAGCCCACTTATAGCAGCTTTAGCCATGGTATAGGAGTGATAGCTTGGAAGGGCATGAAATATACTAGGGGGGGAAACAGGAAAATGGTAGGGGAAAAACAGAAAGCTATGCACAAATAACATATTCATCCTTAATCAGATTTTCCATCTCTTATTTTATTATAAGAAATTTGCAGGTTGTATTGACCAGAGAAATCAACTGTTACTTTAATTGTTCAGTCTTTCTTTCTTATGTTTACTTTTTCATCTTCTTTTTTCAGTTAATTGTCCAAAAAGAAAGAAGCAAAATGAAGTGTTATTACGAAGTCCTGGGTGTCAGTCAAAGAGCCACAGATGATGAGCTCAAAAAAGCATATAGAAAAATGGCTCTGCAGTGGCATCCAGGTATGTAGATGTTTTTTGTTTTTTTTCTTTGTCTATGACTGTACTTTTATATGTGTGTGTGTATCTCAGAGTATTTTTATTTGGTTTGTAGAGCCCTGTTTGTGTGCTATTGGTTTTGTGTCAATTAAAGTGAGCATCATTGTAGATAGTATTTTTTATTGATTCTTCTACCTTTTACTTTTAGATAAAAATCCAGATCGACTTGAAGAAGCTAAGGCACAGTTCCAGATAATTCAAGCTGCTTACGAAACACTAAGTGATCCACAAGAAAGAGCATTTTATGACCGTAATCGTGAAAACATCCTTAGAGGCAAAGGTATTATTCCATTAGTCAATAGTATTTTAGTGACGTAATCTTCATGGTATGGATGCACTAAGATAGGTCAAGTTGAAGATGATATTCTTGTATAGGACAAAAAGTTGTAGCCATTGGTACAAGAAATAATCTGCAGAATATTGTGGAAAGTGCCACTTGCAGTCAAAGTCCACTTGGTGGTCCAGAGTTTCAGCTCTTATCTTGCTGTGCATACCCTGTGGAAGACTATCTTTATTGGGGGGTGTTAGGGGACAGAGCCCTAGATCAGTCCTCCCCTCAGACAGTGCCTAAAGGATTCTCCTAGTCATGGCATCTTAGATTGTTGAATTAATTTTGTAATGTGGAGCTGGGGACTCTAGTGAGTACATCCATACTGTAAAGAATTACTGACATATGTGTTAACATAATGGTTATGGAAACAATATAAATCTCTTGCTGTATTAGTATAATATAGAGTATGGGGTATACATATTGCACTCCTTTGTTTTCAATTTTTCAATGAACTAATGTTTAAATTTTTTACAGATGAAGATTTGGAAGAAAAACCAGATAACATTGATCTATTTGCATTTTTTTCTTCACAATGTTATTCTGGTTTTGATGATACAGAGAAAGGCTTCTACACTGTATATAGGTAAAAACAGAGCTGTTTGCTTGAACACTAAAATATACCATTATAAAGTTAATTGTATGAAAATCATTTAGCTTTGTATTTTATGTAGGGATTTACTGTTCCTAATTTGCAAATCTAACAATGAAAATTGTGTGTACTAAGAATTATATAAAAATTTCAGACAACTATTTGAGAAGATTGCAGCAAAGGATATGCAATACATGGATGATGACGAGGAAGATATTGCCATTCCAAATTTTGGAAAAAGTGACTCTGATCTGGAAGTAAGTTAAACTGGTGGGAGAAGTAGAAGCTCCTTCATTATGAACTCATTCCTGTACTGCAAAGATATGAATTAACCACAGTAGTCTGCCATACAACAGGATTCCAATTGTGCTGATGTTGGAAGCAAAGAACCATACAAATAGTGCAGACTGTGACGAAGCAGATCATGGACTGATAGAGATTGCATGCCATTATATACCCAAAGTTTTTGTGAAACTTGATGAGAATTTTTATTTCGTAATTTTGTATTTAAATTTCTTTTTCTTTTCCATTTTTCAGGATGTTGCACAGTTTTATGGTTATTGGTCAAGTTACTGCACTTCAATGTCTTTTGCTTGGGTTGACGAATATGACATTAGGGAAGCCCAAGGAATGGGACGCTGGGTGGAAAAGGTAATGTATTATAATATGTGGTTACCTCATTGAAAAGTTAAGGTCATGATTATTTATTATCAAAAATTGAAAGGAATAAGATATTTAACATTTTTATGTGGTTTGATTATTATATTTGATAGTTTGTGTTTGATTTTCCTTCAGAAAATTGAAAAAGAAAATAACAAAGTTCGACTGAAGGCTCGCAAAGAGTTCAATGAAAAAGTAAGGTCACTTGTTTCCTACGTTCGAAGACGCGACAAACGTTGGGAAGCTCGTAAGGTGAGATGCTATTTTGCTTTTGTTTAATAATTTTTTATCTTCTTACTATAAAACTAGCAGCTACAAATTATGATTTATGATTCCAAAAAGTATATTTTTCTTTATTCTCTAAGAACCTTGTTGTGGTATATGCAGAACCCTTGAGAGGATCTATAGTGTGTTAATATTAAGTAAACTTTTGTAATTGTTATTTTTTTAAAGCTTCACTCACTTAATCTGCATATAGAATATATAGAATATTAAGATTGAAAATGGGGAGATGAAGTAAACATTTTTTCCTGGAATTCATACTTATATTTTGTAACAATCTCCCCTCACCCCCCAGAAAATGCTTGAAGCCAAAGCTGCAGAAAATGCCAAGAGGCAGAAGGCAATGCAAGAGAGGCAGAAAGAAGAGAGGCTGAAGATGATGGAGCAGGATATTGCCAAGGAGAAGGCAAAAATGGCAGCCTATGAGGAGGAGCTGAGGGTGAGTAAAGATTCTTTGTGACTTGATTTCTTTTACGTTAATGTACATATTCACATCATTAACTTCTTTCATAAAACTTTCATAATCGCAGATGTGAAAAGGCTGTGTAATATTTAGAACATTCCCACATGTACTCACATAGTTGGTAATGTTGATGGAATTAAAGACTAAGATTGCTTGTGTTCCAGGCTTTAGAAGAGAAATTTGCAGAGGAATGGGGTTTATCTGATTATGAAGATAGTGATGAAGAATGTGATGAAAATGCAGAAGCTGTCTATGGAGAAGAGATTCCTGATGGCCAAGTTGAAGAGGAAGAAGAAGATTATCCTGTAGATGATCGATATTGCGTTGCATGCAATAAGGAATTTAAAACTGCCAATGCGTAAGTAGATTTTCTTTCTTTTATAGGTAGCTTTTTAGGGAGATTGTTTTGAAAATTGCATTAAATTTAGCTATGTATTATTGCAATTCCATAAACAATGTATTATTACTCAATATGATATTTTTTCTGCCTTTTTTTAATACACATTCATATCATATGTGTATATTTCATCACTTTTTTTTAGCTGTACAGTGGGATGTGGATACTTATAGCTTGAGAACCATGAGTAGAAAGGAGAACCTGCTGAATTTTTCTTTCATGTTCATAGTTAATTTTTAAGGTTATTTGAATCAAGAGGACAGAGAAAGGAAATACAAGAAAAAATATCTCAGTTGAGCTATATTACAAGATTCTATAAAGTAAACTCTAAATATTTATCTATCTCTAGTCTATCTATCCGTAAGTATTGTAGCAGCACGACCCCACAACCTAATGCTCAGCGTAGTTTCCCAGGTTGGGTTGCACAGCCATTTCCTCATGCATTAGACAGCGCACATGTACTTAAGCTGCAGAATCTGGAACCGAGATCATCATTCCCTGATCCTCCAGCAGAACACAACAACAGCAGCAGCAACACAAGGACTGTCCAATCCTTAGCCAACTGGAGAGCCTACCGGCTCCCCCATTGATCTCCACTCCAACTTCAGCACCCAGCCATACCTGAAGGCACTCACACCCACACAATCATTCCATAAAGAGATATAGTCCAAACAGTAGATGCAATACCATCTACTATACTGGTGACTCCAGAGTGACATGACATGGTATATCACTCGTTCACTTAGCTCACTCTCTGGAGGGGAGTACCTGTAGCAGCACAACCCCGCAACCTGATGTTCAGTGTAGTTTCCCAGGTTAGGTCACACCAGGTCCACAGCCATGTCCTTGCGCATTGGACAGTGGGCTCCTCTCGTTCCCTGTGCACTTACACAGCGCACATGTACTTAAGCCACAGAATCCGGAACCGAGGTCAGCATTCCCTGATCCTTCAGTAGAACATGACAACAGCATCAGCAACACAAGGACTGTCCAGTCCTTAGCAGACTGGGGAGTGAACCTGTTGATCTCCAATTTACCTCCAGCACAACAGATGCAATACCATCTACTATAGTATGTGTATGCATGTACAGTCAGTGCCATTACTTTTGGCATGAAGATCTATATGCCCGTAAAAAATGTCAGTCATATTGGCAAAGGTGATGTTGGCCAGGGGGTAGAGCTTTGTTGTCTATGTATATTTATCTCCTGCCAGTCTGCTGGAAGCACTGGTAATAAGAGAATGAGTATTAGTGATTAGACACCATGTATTTTTTTCCCTTTTTGGTTTGTAGACAGACAATGCCTTGAAGACCAGCACTCTCAAAGGAGAAAATAGCAGCTCTTGTAAAAGTAAAATGGAAATGTATACTCTGACCAGAGTTGCACTTTGAACAGTTCAGCAGCAGACTAAGATCACAGAATGCACCCATCACAAATCTTGCTCTGGGAGACCCAGTGAAACCATTAACAGGACTCTCAAACTTATCTTGTGTCAAGTGGAGAAGTCTCATGTGACGGTGAAAGAGATAAAGGAAAAGAATCCAATGCTGCTGAGGGAGGTGAGTGTTTGTATGATCCAACACCACGTGAAGGACAACCTGTTATGAACACTGCCAACCACAATGAAAACCATAGCACACCAAGAAACAAAGACCGCAGTCATATTTTATATTTGAATTGGGACCTAAAGAGATTGGATCATGTGTTGTGGACTTATGAGGCAACCTTTACAGTAACTGGAAGGTGTGGATAAGGCCAGGCACAGATCTATACTCACCAAAGTACAAGTAAGCCATGACCAAACACCCTAATTCAGTGATGGTATGGGGTGCTTTCATATATCATGGGACAGGGGAATGTGACTGACCAAGACACCTGGAAGACTGCTTTGGCCATTGCCAGTCCATCATATTCCAAGAAGACAGTGCACCTGCCAACACGTCAGGACTGGCTCGAGTGTGTTGGAGTTGACCACATGAAACACTTGCCTGGGTATTGCCCAGATCATAACCCCATTAAGAACATGTGGGGGCTCAGGGGTAGGGATATCCTGACTGTGACTAGGCTCGTGGAACACCTCCACAACATATGGGGCAACCATGAGCCCAGTCTCCATCAGTGGCTGGCAGAAACTGTCCCAAGATGCATGGCAAGTTATGTGAAGCACTAGGGACTCTACTAAACCAGTGTTTCTCCCTCCATATTACTTTTGTGTTGTAGAAATGCGTATCGCAAGGCAGTGCCGAAAGTAATGGCCTGAGTTCATATGTGATTAATTAATTGATGTCTGTATGTCTGTATGTCTGATGTATATATGTAATTATATACTGTGTTTATTTATATTTATAGATACATACATAGAGCATTTATTTTCTCAACAATTTTTTATATTTCTATAATTGCTCTTAATTTTTCATAAATTTTCATTGTTTTCCTCAGAATGGAGAGTCATTGTAGATCAAAGAAGCACAGGGAAAATTTAGCGAAGATGAAAGCAAATATGTTGGCAGAGGATGAACTCCTGAATGGAAAGCAAGAGGAATCTCAAGTTGATCAAAATTCTATAGACAGTAAGATATACACATGTGCATGCACACACACTTTGTATAATATATTATGTTATGATTTTTTTCCTGCAACATTGAGATTTAAGTGATTGTTGTTGCACACAATTTATAGTCAAATATATGTCAAAGTAAATCCTTTTTTGACATCATCATGAACATCCAGTAAAAGATCCCAAGAACTTGCATTTCAGTCTGAATCTGCCCTTACAGATGAGGAAGTAAGTACACCACCAAAGTCTTCTAAGAAGAAAAAGAATAAGAAGAACAATCCTACCGACATCCTCCAGTCCTTAGCCTCAGAAACGACTGGCAGATCCAACAAGTCAAAGAGAAAAGGAAAGCGTCAAACTCTAGACTTTGATACAAGTTCAGATATGTTAGGAGATGCTACTGATGAAAATGCAGGCGAAGATGGCAAAAATGACTGCTCAGATGCTGTGACAGAAAATGTCACTGGTGGGGACACTCTCCCAAATGAAGAAACAGAGGAAGGTGATGAGGCTGCCAACAAAAGCACATTTGAAGCAACTTCCAAACCCAAGGGAAAGAAAGCTAAAGAAGCAAAGAAACGAGCACAGCAGGCAGAATCTTCCAATAAAGAAAAAGAGGTTTGTATCAGCTGTGTTAGAACTCTATGGTTGTGAATTATTTACTGTTATTCCTCTGCAGTAACTCCTGATTTATGCAAGCATTATATTATTATGCTATACTTAACTTGCCTGAGTCAACACATACAAATCAACTTTGGTACTATTTAATTTTTTTTTTTTCCTCCCGCCAAGACTAAGTTGGCTAATATATATGATTATTAGTAATATATATTATTTGATGTTAATTTTCTTCCAGGACCTCAAGTGTAAGGTGTGTGGCAGTGAATTTGGTTCCAAAAATAAACTTTTTACCCACTTAAAAGTTGCGGGACATGCTGCTCTCAAAACTGCAATGCCTCAAGCTGAAAAAAAGGCTAGAGGTAAAAAGAAATGATTTAATATAAAAGCATTTACTTGAATATCAGTTTATTCATGAATTACATAATTTATATTATATTTAAACATATGAAGAAACTTTATTGACAAGTAAAGCATTAAATTGCTTATTTCAATATCTTTGTATCAATATCCTGATATGTTTTTATACTGAATTGGTTATCAGGCAAATTATTTAAGTATATTTCGTTGTCATTTTGCCATATTGGAAAAAGTATAAATGGAGAAAATTCCATTGGTAACGATTAATAACTTCATTGTTCATGTTTATTTTCTTCAATAAAAATACTGACTATTTTATAGCGATATATCTTATGGAAAAACAAGATTTTTAAAAAGGAAACTAAGTAATTTTGCATACTGTTGTCTGTTGAAAGCACACTGCAATCTTCTTGAACTCCTCAGATTAACTCTTAAATAATACATTGTGATACAATATAGGTAATGAACATATGAATATACTGAAAGAAAAAAAATGTCTGGTACAGCTGCAATCTTCCATATCTCTAAGTCCTTCCTGCCAGTTATCTGTTATCACTGCTACATCATCCATCACCTGACATTACAATCTTCATGGAAAAAGTATGTATCTTACTTTCAATAAAGTTCATTTCATTCCTTAGGCATTCAGTCCCCTTTTTCTCTATGAAGCTAAAACTTCACTCCACAGGAGTAATTTGACATGAGGAAAACATAGGCAGGATTATGTCAGGGAAGGGGGTGGTGGCAGAGAATGGTTGAAGTAAAACCTGTCTTATTTAGTAAAACTATGAACAAATACACTGTGTAAAACTAAAACTTGGCCAGGGGGGTAGACATGAAGAGTAACACATGCAAGATTGAATTATTAAGGGATGCAGCAGAGAGTGGATCAAAACTTGCTCCTTTTTATGTAAAACAGAGCAAACACAGAAACTTAAGTATTAAAATTTTGTTGAGTCTGTGGATGAAATGAAAGGCAAAAGAGTATATAGTATGTGTGCAAGGCTATTGTTAATTAGTTCTTGAAAAAAAAATACTTTTTCTAGTTTGTTTGTTTTTTCTTTGTATTATTGTTCTGTTCTGAAAAGCAAATTTCTATCTGGGCAACACTGGGCATTTGCAACAAATTAGTTTAGTATCCTGGGGAACCCCCTTTTGAGAAGCTAATAGTGTAAAGCATAATACTTGGCAAAAAGTCAGGTAATTGACTTTTTGCCAATTACCTGTACAAGAAAATTGGTTGGCATACCAAGTATTTAATAATTCCTTCTTAATTGAAAAAATACTGCTACAGATGATGATGGAATCTTCATAGTACCCCTTTCACATGCCCTTTTATTATTTTCAGTCCCTCAATAAAATAAACACACTAATGCCCAAGTTAGGAACCCCTATTCTGAGTGTAGAAATAACGCTGGAAACAGAATACCCAAATATGTCCAGCATAGGAGGAAAGAGACGCAGTAAGAAAAGTTGGAAAAGATTACAGAAAAAGTCTAATTAGATGTTCAAATACTTAACTCATATATGGAAGTTTTAAGGAGCTGATTTAGCAAACGCTCTCAAAATTCACATTAATATGATCTTACATAGTTTCTCGCCATGTATTACCGGTCTTTATAGCTGTCATAATGGTAATGAGGAAATTATTGTAAGCAGAGGAAAGCAATATACAGATCAAAACTACAAGATATTTCCCAAATAAAACCAGACCGGAAACTGTTCTCTAAAAATCGCATCACATGGCGTCCATCTTTTTATCACGTGAACATGAGTGAACTAATCCTGATGCAATATACATATTGGCGAAACCGAATTATCCCATTTCGTTTATTTTAAATGGATGATATTTTCCAGAATATCGGTGGACACTAGATGACACGACAGTTGTCTGGTAAAAATATATATAGGTTCTAATGGTCTCGCTGGTTTTGTTTATGATAGTCTTCGTAACACCCGTTGTTTTCTTATGCTACTGGAACCAAAATTGTATGTAATATACGAGTGTTATGTCTATACCGTAATAACGATCATGATTTACATCTTTAACTGCCCAACACAACACCTACACAAAATCGAAACAAAAACAAATGGCATGGCCGGGTATACTCTAGGTCTTTAAAGGTATAGACTTTGGGTATACTCCTCTCACTGATTACGGGAGATCGGTGTTCCCATGTTTACTAATCAGTGATACATACAGTAGCCACCACTGAACGGGCAGCAAATAGTGCCAATATATTTTTAAAAATTGGACTATAACCTGCCGCCCTTTGGTTCTTTTTTATGATGAACAAAAAATTGCATTAATAATACAGGATTAAGAACATATTGTATAGTACTATATAAGCACCAGTCACGAAAATTGTCGGAAACAAACTTTCCAGATTTGTCCATATATCACAGATTAATGAAAGATGAATGCGTGTATTATTATGCTTGGACACATAAGTGGTCATAGATGATTACCTTATTTCTAGCTTCAAAAGCACAAAAGAAAGCTAATTCAGTAACAGTCTGTAGATAACTGCATGATCTTTGCACTGGTCAAAGATCTCATCTGTAAAATCCCGAGATCCCTTCCGACCAGCGTGTCAAGCGCGTGGCCCGCGGCATTATTTCAATCTTACAGTCGGCTGTTTTACATGATTAATTAAACTACTCATTCGTCATTTAAGATTACCACTTAAACTTTTTTTTTAATATTGTGTTTTGTAATGAGTGAATTCGTCTCCTACGTTTTTACCAAATAGCCGTTACGTTGCACTGACTCGTGATTATCTGTGGCCCGCATATTGTGAAAAGTGGCCCTGTTTTAGCCGTCTTAGGACAGATTCCCTGCCTTATACAGAAAGATGAATAAAAACTACGATAGCAGTATTAGACTTCTCCATTCTGGTTTCTCGTACATTTGGCGATAATGAGTAGAGTCGTTTATGGTAGACTTTCATTCACCAGTTCTGTTGATGCATGTACGTACTTCTGGGCGATCCAGCATATTCTGAGTTACTCTAGAAACCTTTTCTTGTTGCTGCCTTGCTCTTCTACAATATTGTCGCGGCGAAGTCGTCAGTAATGCTGGTAAATGCTGGCAATACACCATACATATTTCTTGAGGGCTGGGAAGTAGTCTTTAGGAAGATGGGTGTTTAGACGACCACCCTTAATTGTGGTAATGAAATAGTGGCTCAGATTACGTATATAGTTGTATATAACATGTTAAAATTAAATTTTACCCTCTCTAGCTTTTGATCATCTTCTGTCCAGCCCAGGGGCGGTCTATCAAATAGGCTTAGGTATCAGAGACGGCCCCCGCGCTTCGGAAAGCTTGGAGAATGGACCGCTGAAGGGCGTGTGCATTGTAACTTATGATTAACGATACTAATTCCAGTTCTTCTGTGCACATTACTTACTGTTTTACATATTATCTACAGTTGAGAAATTTTCACATTTGTCACGAAATCATTACTAGCGTGAACGCTACTTAAAAAGGTACTCCATATTACCATCTTGGGCAGGGTTGATTGTTCGGCTGCAGTAAACTAGCACCGAAACTCTGCTACCCTGTATTTTTTGTAAAAAACTAGTGCTGAATATATATATAAATATATATATATTTTACACGCTGTCCTTCCACATTTCTTCGAAATACACGAAGTAATCAATTCCATAAAAAGTAAGGTAATTACACGGGTAGCCACTCCGAAAAATAGATGTTCATATTGCACCCGGCTAATCTGGCAAATGTATTTACGTATCTGGAACAACTCCAACAGATGATTAAAATCAATACCAGAGATAAATTACTTGTCTGCCTTCGCCTAGAGATCTGCAGTACAGGTAAAGCAAACTGTAAATTTTGCTAAATCCCTTCTCTTGAAGAGGTTGCCTGAGCGGAAGTGAAAGTGAAAGTAAAAGAGAATTTGCAAGGCCGGATTCACTCCTCTTACGGATATTGTGCTTTAAAGCTCTTGTAGATATGGATTGCGCAATTCATATCTTTTCTCAGCCTGGTTTCCATAAATGATGATGGAATAATTAATTAACAGTATGCTGAATTACAGGTAAATAAAATGGTTCTAACAGAGTCGGAATGATTTCAGAACAGCTCTAAATATTCGCACAATTGATAGAGATACAAGGAGCTTCTAGTGTCATTTGCAAGCTCTTACCTATGTCATGCAGCCTTTCCTACTGTTCATGCAAAAGGACCAAAGGCCTGAACATTTTTATGTGATAATAGAGGTTCCCATCTCTAATACTAGTCTGATATTTAGCACCGCTTTTATCAATCTTCATATCGACGGGATCTCATATCTATCTATCTATATATATAGATCTATCTATACATATATAGATAGATATGAGATCCCGTCAATATATATATATATATATATATATATATATATACACACATATATATATATATATATATATATATATATATATATATATATATATATATATATATATATATACCACGTTGATAACAAACTAAACTTAGATGTGGGGTAGGCATAATTTTCAGCATCTTATCGAACATGAATTAGTAAAATCTTACTCTGCCAGGTGAAATCAGTTAATGGAGGAGTCAAGAAACGAATCTGACCTCTTGTTAGCGCATTTCTTTAATTATTGGTGTGAAGAAATCGATGGGAAAATTTGATACCCAAAGTAATGTGTTGCAAGTGTAGTTCAATGGGTTCCAATGCCCTCGGTTATTACAGATGATGGCGCCTGAAACTCTTCTAGTTATGAAAAATCCTGAATCCTCCTTACAGAAAAAAATATATTCATGTGGGATAGTAGAGTTGATCCGAAAATTTCCTGTAACAAAAATCAATGGAATACATTTTTTTCTTAGCGAGATGCACCATACCAGGGATGACATAGGTTTAGCAAGCTTTAGATCACCGTGGCTAAGGGAGACACGTGGTTAATGGAACATTTAAAAAATAACAGACACCTAATCGATGTTGAAGTAGATATGTCAACATCAAGAGGTGGTCACTTACCAAGCCTAAGAAATAGAGTTGAAATGCTTATGCCTATCAATATATTTGACAAGGGCGAGGAACATCTAGCTTACCTTGATTTTTGAAGCATATTTTGAGAGAGATGGAGGGAGGGGGAGAGAGATGGAGGGAGGGAGGGAGGGAGGGAAGGATGGATGGAGGGAGGGAGGGAGGGAGGGAGGGAGGAGAGAAGAGAGAGAGGGGGGGGCGAGACATAAGTTTAGTAAGCCTTAGATCATCGTGGCTAAGAGAGAAACGTGGTTAATGAAACGTAAAAAATCAGTATAGCAGATACCTAATCGATGTTGAAGTAGATATGTCAACATCAAAGGAAGAGGCTGTCACTTATCAAGAAATAGAGTTGAAATGCATATGCCTATCAATATATTTGACAAGGGCGAGGAATATCATATCCCGGATATGAGCGTGCAATGCGTAAACATATGCAAGCAAGCAAGAGAGAGAGAGAGAGAGAGAGAGAGAGAGAGAGAGAGAGAGAGAGAGAGAGAGAGAGAGAGAGAGAGAGAGAGAGAGAGAGAGAGAGAATTGTCCCCTTTACATAACGAGACTAATCCTGCGTGTGCCTTAAAGTTTGGTGTGAATGAAAATATTCGGGGCTTT